GTGCTACCTCTGTAATTAAAAATGCAAGTACTTCAGCAATGCCAGACATTGCAGGATGGCTACTTGGTCCAGCCTCGAGTGTGTGTGGTGGTGGTGGTGGGGGGAGGGGGGTGGACTCACTAGATGACCTCTTGAGGCCCTGTCTAGCCCTACATTTCTATGATTAATGGCTGTTTTCAGAAGGGAACAGAAGTCATCTTGGGGAAACACAAATTAACCTACTTGTCTCAAATGGCAAAAAGAGGACAGTGCTTACTACCAACGTTACAACAATCCAGTACATGGTTTTAGAAGATCTATTAATACCATATGCGTTCATAACCAGTCTCTTTACATGTAGTCTAGACCCCACAAGTTTATCCAGATTCTCCTTTACAGACCCTTTTGTGCATAGGTATTCTTGCAAATATAAGTTTATCCAATTTTCTGAGGCTATTTCAATATTTAGACATGAACTATGGAGTTTACTTGAATTAATCAGTTTAAATTATAACTCAACATTATACAGATCCTTTTATTTGATAGTTTCCAGTGAGCCCCAACAAAACACCTAGTAAACATTAGTGAAAGATTATCTTGGAGGGTGTAACTATACCAATCTCCTTGGAGCCACCATGCACTGCACAGGTGTTGCCTCTTGGTGTAACCAATTTTAACTAAATCACCTTCAGCCACTTTTATTCCAAAGCAAATATTCAAACACAGACTTGCACTAAAATAACTAGACTGGGTTTAGGAAAACAGTTTAGCTGAATTGGTGCAAGCTTGTTTGTTAGGGTATATCTACACTTGAGGTTAGGGACACGATTCCCAGCTCCAGGAGACATTCTTGCACTAACTCTCATTAAGCTAGCATGCTAAATATAAAATGTAGCTAGGGTAGTGTAAGCAGTAGGATGGGTTAGTTGCCCTGAGCATGCACCCATCAGAGACCCTTCAATGTACTCAGGGCTGCTAGCCTGTTCCACCACTTGCACTGCCCCAAGTATGTTATTTTAGTACACTAGCTCAAGTATGTCTCCTCAAGCTGGCAATCCCACCTCTATCTCTAGGTGTAGATTTACCCATAGTGTGCTGCTGCTGCTAGTTGTGCTGGGACTTCTGCTGTTGTGTTTCAGATGAGTCATTACTGCAGTGCAAAATTAAGAGGACAGAAGTGCTCAGGAGACATCAGGAGCTAGGAGTTCTAAGACAATACTGTCCTTTCATTTCATATTTTCCATCATGGGACTATCATGTGGCAATCCAAAAGACTTAGTCTTCACTAGAAAAATAAAAGTGTTTTTACATCAAGATACCTATCTCGATATAAAATCCTAGTGGAGACAAGGCACTGTAGTTTTTAGCTCAATTTTACTAGCAGAGGTCATCCCTAACTCCTTCACCTGGGGTTTACCTTGACTAGCTACATCAAGGTAAAAACAGGTAAAAACTATTTGTGCCTTGGCTCCACTAGAATTTTACATCGAGATAGCTATCTCGATATAAAAAACACACTTTGTTTTTTGGAGTTAAGACACAGCCTAGGAATCACATGGAGTCGCTTTCTTCTAACAATAAACAAGAAACTTTATTAGAATAAAAAGTATTATCTCTAAAACTACTCTCACTCTCTCTCTCTGCTTCACTGAATAGGTTCTGTCTAGGATGCTCGATCCAACCTGGCCTTAAGAATGAGCATATTTAACCTCACATGGACCTGGAATGCTTCCAAAGTTTCAAATGGAGGAAGGGAATGCAGAAGTTTTAGGGGAATGAAAAATTGACATTGTTTCCTTGTTTCTCCTGGCTATCAAGCCAATGAATTATCACAAATAATTTTTCTTTCTCCTACTAAACTATTTCCACTGTGATTAGTTAGTTTGCTTATTTTCTGTTTGCTTGTTGCCCTCTCTATCTAATCTCTGCTCCCCACTTCCAGCAGCACTAGAATAAAACTAACATGAATCTGGTCAGTATTGTACTAAGTTCCACTGTGGTGTAGCTACTCCCTCGGGTAGCAGTGGATGTAAAGAGTACAGCAGTGGTGCAATCCTCCCTCCTAGGAGACTTTTTATTTTTAACACTGCCCCGAAGAACAGTGAACAGTTTGACAGAGGACCTGCACCAAGTTTTCATAGTATTTGATGGGCTGACAAGTGCATTGGGGAGCCCCAGATGAATCTGAAATAGCCTGGGTGAATAATTAAAACAAACAATCCACATCCTGGGGAATGCAGCACTGGTTGTAGGCAACGGCCCCGGGAATTCAGGGGCTAATTGTTCAGTGTACATACCCTTAAAGCAACCTACACTAAAGCCACTTTTATACCACTGGTATTGTAAAGGGGCATTACTGTAAATGAGAATCAGGCTTTGCAATATATATTTTAAAAACTTCACTATACAACAGAACAGGTGAGAGAAAGAGAATACAGGAACAACCAGGACAATGGCACTGGACTGGCAAGTATGTGTACGAGGCCAGCAAAGGAGTAACTACTAGGGGCTCAAATGACCAGCAACTGAATAGGCCAGGACCGCATAAAACTTGCAAATGAACTGTCAAAAAGGTAATAATCTTACAAATACGTAACACCTTTCTTCCCCAAAACTTTACAAGTGATATGCATACAACACTACTGAAATTCAGGCACCTCTGCTGCAGTAGAAAGCAGGCATTAACCAATCATGACATGGCAGAACTTGGAAAGGAAGGGTTAGAAGGCAAAAGGAAGTGTAATATGGTCTCATAAATCATAGAAATGGAGTAAGATTGGGGATTCATTCCCAGCTCTGCCTCATGCATCAAAAGTCACACCGGAAATATCACAATGAGGGTTAGTATTTGTTGGGAGGATTGAGTGTTTTTGATTGGTTAATTGTTTCTGTGTAAGTATGGGCAGGTTGCTGGATTTGCTCTTTATATTAAATTGTGTCATCAAAAGCACCTAGTATACCTCTTAACCTCCCAAGGCTTAAATATGAGATGCAACATATAACAAAGATCCAAAATGACGGGGGGGAAAACACATAACAAGTATTACTACAAGAAACTGAAAAGGGTGAGATCCAGATCTTCAGTGTAAACAACATTTTCTATATAACCTTAGTTTCATGACTCTATTTCTGATGTAAATAACTTGCAACAAGAGAAGTGAGGGGACTCCAAATCTGAATGCAGTGTTATATGGAAATTTGCAACTAAAAGAAGTAACATCCCTTGAAAGTAGGAACATTGGAGAGATGCAATTGATAGGTGCTTTTAAATTTTAGGTATCAAAATAAAATAAAAAAATTACCTGTGCCTCAGCTTCTCCTCTGGGGAACCTGTAAAATGGGGATAACGATATCCACCTCTCACAGTTGTGTAATGTTACATCAAATTATGATTTTTAACCACCATGAAGGTCCTCCAACAGGAAATGTTATATAAATATCATTATATTAATCTTTACCAAGCAATCCAGGGCAAACCCCATGTGACACTTAGGCCAGAATTCTCAGAAGAGCTCTACACCTGCTGTCCAAGACAGATTTTCAGAAGAAGTCAGCTCCCATTTAGGCACCAAAGTAGTTAGTTAGATTTTTTTTTAAAAGATCAGCACAATGCACACGAAGTGCTTCTGAAAATCTGGTTATAAATGTCACAATGGGAGCTACCGGCTGCTATGTAGTTTTGAAAATCGGAGTATTATATAGGTAACAATAGAAGCTGAACTCATTTGAAAACCTGTCACCAATTGCGGGTGTCAGGCCCACATGACTAACAGGACCTCCATTTCAGGTGTCCTCTGAAAAACCCACCCCCAAACTTCATTTTATCTGCCTAAGAAAGCAGAGGGGCTGAACTGACCTTTCTGGGGCAGCAACCTGTGATTCCAGGGAATGTAGGTATTTCAAACCTCCATTTCTCTCTCTCATAACCTCAGGCTAAGAATGAAATGATGAGTGCAAACCTGTTGTCTTTAGCAAACTTTTTGTAATACTTCATTCTAAATACAGGCTTCTCAAGCAAACATATTTCCTTACCCATAAATTCACAGGTAACCCATAATTAAAGTGTAACGGTTTAAGGATTGCAATCTTTGTTGTTGTTAAATGAAGAATCAAAATCAGTTAGTCAAACCTCTCTTTCCACCATGTATAGCTATTTCCCTCCTTATTTTTTTTTTTTGCAGCGTTTTCATTATACCCAGGAAAGCTCAGATGTAGTATCTAGTTTCCACAATAGTATTACATTTAAGCAAATGTGACAGCTGAGGTGACTGCAGTCCATTTTAGTAAATCTGTCTTTCAGTCTATCATACGATAAAAGGGGGAAAATGACACTCCGATTTCCATTGCAACTTACTTTTTCTACATAGGTATATAAAATTTTCCTATTAGAAAAGAAAAGTGTACTTGACATTTGTTTAAGTACTTATTCTACAATATATACATTAAAACGATACCATTAACTTGGAAATCACATTTCCATCTGAACATTTTGTATCTACTAGAATTACAAACTGTAACTTAAATAATAACATTTTCTCAATTTTTTCACCTTGTTTACTTTATGCATCTCTGACAAAATTTTGCGTCACCAGAGACACTGTCCTTTCTGAAAAGACACACATCAGCAAGGGAACAAAAAAAACTTGTTTTTTTTTTTTTTAATTAGGCCATGATAAAAGGCTGCTCTAACAGAACCTGTGTGGGTTTTTTTTTAAACGACAGGTATTTGTTTTTTTAAATCATGTTGACAGTACCCTTTAACACCTGCTGTGTGCATATTTTTTTTTAAACCGAGATTGAGGAGTTCCTGTAAAATAACATCCTCTCACTTTGCATTGCTGGAGTCCTAAAGAGGGTGCAAGAATAACGTTTCCCATTATCCCCAGACTCAGAGATTTAGGAGCACAATCCCCATAAACACAGCAGCAGAGCAAATAGTGTGTGTTAACTTCACCATCCCTATCCTCCCTCTCCACGCCAAGCCAGAAGGAACACCCAAACCCCAGAGAGGCGGTACTCACTCTGCAGTGCTGGTCCCATTGATGGTGGAACTATCTGGAGCCGGGTTCAGCTGAATGGGCATGGGCTTCTTTTTAGGCATTTTAAATAGGAATAATGGAGCTTAAACTTCCGAAAATCCCCTTCCTGCTCCGGCCAGCTCCAGGGGGCTCCCTCCCGCTAGGCAGAGTTAGGGGCTCCTCCGGCAGTTCCCGCTGCAGCCGGGCTACAGGGCGATGTCTCCAGCAGCTCCTGCTCCTACCAGCCAGCCGGCTCTCCCTGGCTAAGCAGAGCTAAGGGACGCTCCTGGTCCAGCAGCGCCAGGGGCCACTCCCCGACTGAGCAGTGAGGAGTTCCCCGAGCCGCACCGTGGTAGCAAACACTGCCCGCTCTCAAAATGTGTCCCTCTCCGCTACTGTGCATGTGCGAACTCCTCGGGCGCCCCCAGTGCGCAAGTGTGGCGCCGCTGCACATGGGCACTGGGGAGTGAAGCTGCCTGGAAGCCCCTGCCCTTCCCCTGGCC